TCCCATAAAATTCATACAAAGTTATGCAAATCTTCCTATGTTTCCATGACTCGCAATCTGAGGGTCGAAGGTTCAAATCCCGGTCCCACCAAACATGCTCGCACTTTCAGCCGTGAGACGTTATAATATGACGGTCAATTCCACTATTCTTTGATAAAAGAGTAGACCAAGAGTTGGTGGTGGGTGATTACGACTAGCTGCCTTCTCTCTGGTCTTTCACTGCTAACTTAGGGACGACTAGCGCAGATAGCCCTCGTATAGCTTTTCGCCAAATTCGAAACAAAACAAACAAATCAATGATCTGTAAATTATTTTTTCAAAAAAAAAAACTTAACAAAAGTTATTAATTGAGTTATCTTGAAAAAATTATTATGAGTGGTAATAATAGGGTTAAGTATCTCTCCCACTTAAGCCACCTAACGCTAGGTAAACGCAACTCACCATTATATTATCTGTGTTAAAATTGGACTGTTTGTGATAAATACGGACCTTTGTGTGCAACAAACACTAGTGGAATTTTATGTAGATATGCTTGTGTAGTGGCAACCCACGGACATCCCGGATGAATGCCGTTTCGAGAAACAAATTTCACACACACACAGAGGTAGTCCGTCACTTTCTTCGGAATGTATTGAGAATAATTGCTGATGTTAATGGAGAGAGTAGACTTAAACTCAAGTTCCAATATCATGTGATTTCTTTAGAAAATCATTATAACTTTATGTTAATTTTTCACAGTTATAATCCTCTGCTTACACTCTACCATAAGAAGTATAAATGGTGATTTGTACTTACCTGAAAATGTCGTGGTATTGTTTTATATGTTGCCAGGACTCTCGAGTTGAACTATATAGCATCCATTTCTAAATTACAGCCTCGGGAAGTTGGTAATTTAAAACAACAACAATAAAAAAAACGACATAAAAACGCAAAGTGCCTGCAGTTAGCGTCAGCATTTGTAAACTGGTTTCGTATAAGCAGTCATTATTTCCACCTATACTTGTTGCATATGTTACTAGCTGATCTAAGAACGATGAAACTCCCGCGGTAGTTAATCAAACTACTTGAATAAGAGTCTAATTAAATTTGGTAAATAGAATTCATGCGTAAAGATGGTTTATAAAATGATATATACTGTTATCTTGTTTTTTATTAAACCGTATTAATCTGATAAAAATTAATGAAACGAGACTGTGTTTCGGAAACATACTTTACGCTTTCGAAGTTGTTTGCATTTTTTATTTTATTGGAGTGTTAGGTTTTTGGCTTTTATCCAGATCAAAGATCGTAACTTAACCTGACCATCTACTGAGAAATCTGAAGTCACTGGAAATTGCTTTAATATTACCTTCTGAACATTTGAAGTTATTATTATCAAAAAATCTCATTTACGCGTAGTATATATATATATATATATATTCAGCGGAGCTCGGCTTTAGTCTGAGTTTAAACATCTAACACAGTTTCCCGCGATCTCTCGAGCCATGACTACTATGTATAATTAAATGTTAAATGGGAATTATTTCTGTCCATTCTTGGCATTACCCTTGTCTTTATACACTTCACTAACAATGCGCATCATATCAAATAATTTTCTGTTTTTGACTGTTAAAGTAATTTAAAGAATACGCAAAAAACAAACACAGTAAAAACCTCAGCAGTAATTAATGGGAATTACTACAATATTGACGGTATGTAAAAAATGTGTTTAATAATTTTATTAGGTCCACCATATCGGTAATTTAGAATTAAGGGCTTTCGTATGTTATGGCCAGGTGGTTAAGGCGCTCGACTCGGGTTCGAATCCCCGTCCCACCAAACATGATCGCCCTTTCAGCTGTGGGGGCGTTATAATGTGACGGTTAATCTCATTATTCGTTGGTAAAAGAGTATTCCAAGAGATGGTTGTGGGTGATAATGACTAGCTGCCTTCCCTCTAGTTTTACACTGCTAAATCAGGGACGGCTAGCGCAGATAGCCTTCGTGTAGCTGTGCGCGAAATTCAAAACAAACTTTCATATGTTATTGTCCAATTTTTTATTATTTGACTTTTTTTGTCTTTCAGTTACTTGACAGACAAAGTTTTAAAATCTTTCATATCTTTTCGCCTCTGTTAAGCCTCAGGGCGAAACATATGCACAATAAACTTAGCGGTCGAAAAATGTATAAATTAGAATGTCTATAAGTAGTGACACAACAAAAACTATGTCATAGAGCTATTTTATGAAAACAGACAAGTTTACAATGTCAAGGCCTAATAAACAATATTCTGTTGACTGGTAATAAACAAAATCCTAGAATACTGAGATATTGTATACAAGCATAGAAATATAATTTGTAGTTCACAAATTGGCCAAGAATACTGACAGATAATGAAAAAAATCTAAATCAGAATACTAACAGGTAATGAAAAAAATATTCTAAAATACTCGCCCCCCCCCCAGTTTCACAGTGGAATGTCTGCGGACTTAGAACGCTAGAAACCGGATTTCGATACCCGTGATGGACAGGGCACGGATAGCCCATCGTGTAGCTTTGTTCTTAATTACAAACTAACTAACTAACTAAAATACTGACCTGTAATAAAACATCAAGTTGAGTAATGGTCTTTGGTAAACAAACCAGACGCGAATACTGACGTCTAGTAAACGGAAAAATGCTGATTTTTTAAAGTAGACTTATAAGTTACTGAACTACCCTACATTGCCACCTTACGAAATTATGCTTTCTATATTCTAACTCAGCTTATAAATCTCAACAGTTAGTTCATGGTACTATCATGTTATAAACACTGACTACTAGTGAAGTGGCTGGTTTAGAGTATTATCATGTTGTAAACAGACTAGTTTAAAATTCTGACAAGTGGTAAAGTAGTTGTGTATAGTTCAAAGTACTATCGTGTTGTAAACAAACATTAGAATAGTGATTTAAGTGAACTTGCTAGATTATGCTAATATTTGATGAATTTGCTAATAAAACGGCTTGTGTCTGTGACTGAATTTTCTCACCTTTCTAACCTCTGATCACCTTGAAATTTAGCAAATATTTTAGCTTATAGTGTTATTTTTCAGAAAACGAGGTAACTTGGAGAACTTACTAGCTTAGAACACTGATAGTTAACACATATGTTAGCGCTTAGGGTATTCTCTTTTTACAACCAAGGTAACTTGAAGTGCTGATATAAAATAGACTGGTGGCAATAACAACGTTGAGAATAATTAACATTCATTAGTTGAAAAAGATAACTCGAATAGAGTTTATGAATATCTTACATTTAGCGACCTACTGTGGACAATATGGAGTAATTCAAGAACCTAAGACGAAAGTTCTTACTAAAACAAGAGGGAATCCTCAATAGCCGTAGCACTTGAAATTATTTTATGCAGGATTAGATAAATTAATCTATGAGACCATTTTTTCCTTTTTATTAGCTATTTTTTTGTGCGCCAGTAATACCAAGCGTGGGGCGCGTGTACACCTGATTCGATTTTATTACCCATCAGGATCTCTACCAGCCTACCCACAAATTGAAATTGTTATAGGCAGGATTAGATTAAATTAATCTATGAGACCTTTGGCGAGGTCAAATACATCAATGGAAAAGACTTGGGCCCCTGAGACCAAAACTGTAATTGGATCTCAAATCGGTCAAGAGATGACAGATCTATAGTTAAAAGTTTGTACTTAAAAAACTCAGAGCCATTCTGTGACCAGCTATGCCGCGGCTAAAAAAAAAAAAATGTAATAGTCTTTGCAAAAGCAATAAAATTTACTTACAATACCAAAAAGTATAATAAAATATCAATAAATTTGAAGTAAATGCTGTATGATACAGTGGAATTGGTTGTTTTTTTCTTATTTAAGCGTCAAAATGCTGTCAGTCAGAACTCCGCTAGTTAACTATTTTCAGATGTGCCTCCGTGCACATCCCAAACATCCCCAGGCCAGCACCGGTAGTACCAGCTGATTCTTGTTGCGATCAGAGATATCAGAAATGAGGTTTATTAATCACGTCCAGCCCTTGTCATTTTTGTTTTAAACTTGCTATGCCTTGCAGACGTATTCGGCACCCTGTAATCTAAAAATATAGTTAGTTAAACTTAGGACTCTTTGTAGCTGAAGGTATATCGAGTGGATCTGTTAGCATAAAAATCTAGCAATTAATTAGAATTATTTGTTTGTAGTTAATCAAAGCTATGCAATGGGCAATCTGTTCTGTGCATACTACGAGTATCGAAACCCCAATTTTAGCTTTATAAGTCCGCAGATATGTCGCTGAGCCACTGGGGGGGGGGTGATTAGAAACGAACAATTACTGTTGATGTATTGCTAATAAATGAGGTTTTTTGCAACGCACTATAGATAGCAATGAGTTTTTATATCTTGTTGTTTCATAACTTTCTTGAAATTATAGATATAACAGCGTTTTCATCTTGTATTTTATGATATTTTCAAGCACTTGTCAGTCACCGCTCAAGATATCCGAGTGTTCGAATTAATGTTTGACTTAAACATTAACGAATAAAACAATGTTTTATCGAACTTTCCATTTCTATATATCATACCAAACTTTTATTATATTTATCGAAATCTATATATTGTATATGTTGAGTAAATTTATATTAGCACATCAAAATTCTGGAACTCAAAATAATTCATTTTTTATTTGTGATTTTTTTTCATTGACATTTCTTGTTTTATGCTAATTATTATTTTTTATTAAAATATATTGTAAATTTCCAAATGGTTGATATTATATGCATTTTTAATACTGAATTTGTCATTATTAATGTTTATCCTGTCCTTACTTTACCCAATAAATTAAGTTATTACTCTATAGAATATTTTCACACTTTTAGAACTGCGCGATTTCAAAATAGTTTCAACAATAGTTTAGTAAGAAATTGGCTTTTGCAATTTTTCAGAAGGATATTGCTTATCTAAAAAAAAACTGAGTTTTTATGTGTGTTTTTTATAAAAGAAATCTAAATTTATCGTAGGTGTGGTTCCAAAATCGGAGAGCCAAGTGGAGAAAGCAAGAGAAAGCGATTGGGAACACCATCCAGACCCAAGGCTTCAACTCATACTCCCTTCCTCCTCCGACTTCAACTTCTGCAAACTCGCTTGGTCTTTCAAGTCCTTTCTCGTCGCTCAGTTTTTCAAGAAAGCCGTATAATCCTGCTCTTTTTGTCACTACCTCGCGGCCCCCTGCTACATATCTACCACCTGCAGTCACAGGTTTGTTGCCACCAACTGGAGCCTATCTAGGATCATCAGCATACGCCTTGCGCGATCTAGCATCGTATCCAGGTTCGCTACTTCCATCATCCCTATCACCTCTGTTTCCAGCTCCATATCCAGCTACTTCGTTCCAAACATTGCTTGCTAATTTATCAGCACAAAGCAGACCAAAACTACCAGGCGAAGGAACTAGCGAGCATTACACAGGTGTTTCAAATAATTCGCCACCGGTCTCATTAGCTCCAGGAACTTTACCTGGCACTCTAGAGTTTGACCGCCGGAGTTCCAGTATAGCCGCCCTTCGCATGAAAGCAAGGGAGCATGAGATCCGCATGGAAATTATACGAAAAGTAAACGGGGAATTTATCAGTTGAGTAATTTTATAAGTACGAGCAATTTCAGCTGGAATAAAAGGAGTCACATCGACTACTTGAAGTGTTATTTTAAACCAAAGATGTTTCAGTGTTCCTTTTAGACTTTCATTGTAAGGGTGTGTGTGTGTGTGTGCTGCCTGTATCTGTATTCCATATTTATAAACTGTGATTTTTTCGGGTCCTTAAAGCTTTTAATATCCGTCCATTTTGACCATAAGAATATAATGAATCGAATCAAATATACAGCATAATATATTTCTGACTTTGATATGTTGCGATATAGAGTGTTGTATCACGGTTCGAATTTTACTTTTACGCTCACTTGTAAAACATTGAAAGTGCCTGTAAAATCCACTTACTAAAGTGTTGAGCTCACTTGCAATTTTTTTTATGTGTTTCATTGAACACTTATGCCTTACAGTAAAAATATATTATAATTATGGTAAAAAAATCTTTATTGTTATGTAAGTATTAGATCAATAATGAAAATGAAAATCATCATGTTTTCAGTGTTTTTATTAACTTCAAAGTAATTGGGCACGGACAAAGCCATATCTCACACCCCTTCACTGCTCTTTGGAGATAAAAGGATGTTCCCTATGCACTACTCACTAATCCGGTGTTTCAAGTTAGAGAGCTTATAAGCTTTAAAAAAATTTAGTTATTGAAGTAACATGCAAAGTTGGATTATTATTTCTATTGTCGTATTCACACTTCTTAGGAAAAATTTTAACGACGACATTCATATATGTCTATATATCCTTATTTCTGTCTATTATTTTGCAATATATTAAGCTACATCATCTGAAACAAATCATCTAATCAGGATTAAAACACTGATGAAGATAACAGATCTGTTATATATTCTCGGCATATGGTACATCATATTTTCTTCATTGTCAACGGATCATTTTCGTGTAAGATTCAGTTCTTTTGACCACTTGTTGACAGACGCTGTCACCGGACGACTCATGCTCGTCATCATTTCTATTTCTAGAACTGGCACTTAAAAAAATGATAATAAATATTTTTTTGCCATTTCACTAAACGCAAACGAATATAAACGAAGTATTTCTATTCATACACGTTTTCTGATGACGTAGTACACATATTGTGCACTCAGCAACAAAATTGTTTGAGGAGTGATCTCATAGACAGAGGAATTTACATATAAATGAATAAAAATCGAAACGAAAATCTGCTTTTGGGGCATAATAAAGGTACGAAACGATCCTAATCGAAAATAAATCGAATCTTAGAAACATGAGATAAGTTCAGTAATTCAATTTTGCAGTTTTGTATTTTAGTTCAATTCTGTGTCACATGCAATATGCAGTCGCGAAAAATTGCAAGTAACAAAAATTCTGGCTCGTATTATGGAAAATCGATTCCCAACTCTAAAGTCCATCAAGATATTTCAATAAGGGAATGGGCCACAGTAATTACTTCGGGAATTAGTGGATTAATACACAAAACTTATTAATTTGAAGGTTCTTAGTCTCGCGAAATCTGTAGTGTCTTACTCTTTTTCTATAGCAGAGTAAAACTCAGAGCAGGTGCTATAGAGTTGTTAGTTAAATTTTAGTAACTTAAACAGCCATTGCTATGATATAAACGTTGTGTAACTTCTGTGGACCCAAACGAAAAATCTCACATAGAAATATATATATATAATTTAAATCCCTGTGATCAGGTATACTTTTAGATCAAACACGAATCACTTTTCATTCTAATATATCGTTGTTATTATTATTATTATTAAATAGTGATTGCCTTTCAAGTTTAAGCTGCAAGTGATTTTAAATGTACGTTAACAATCCATCCCATGGCTGTAGAGAACGACTAGGGCCATTAAAATTATACTGTCACACTAGCAGTATTTAACTTTACAAAAATTTACAAATAGACTGCACTATATATCAAATGATTCTTATGCTGTTTTCAATGTTCCTGTTTCAAAGAACGATATTTGTAATAAAAAGGTTCTGTAGTGTCTTGAATATTTGTATTACTTCAATACTTACTTTTGAAATATGACAGAAACATCATTTCCTCAATATTTGTATCCTATTTTATATTCGACAAGACCTGTATCGATTAATAACAAAAAGGATATATTGCATTATAGCTATAACGAGTTATGACTAACATGTTGTAGTATATTTTGTGGAAGTGTGTGAATATACTTAAGGCAACAACCATTTGTTGTCAAGATCAGCTGATAACTACGGTTTGGAACTAATTCTACTCCAAGTAGAATAAAGTTAGAGAAGTGACATCGAGCACCATATGATCGATAATACAAGGAGATATGTCTGAACGATTCTATGATGCGTCTTCTTGTGTACAGAGCAACTAAGCCTGTTCAGATTTATTACTTTATCTTGCACTTGCATGTTCTTCACTTATCTAAGTTGTTGATCATAGATTGTAAATCATACTATTTCACACTAGGCAACTAATTCATTACTATATATGGCCAACTAGAAAGGGCATTTTTTACTCTCTTCAGCCCAGAGGTAAATAGTATCTACTATATCTATATGAAACTTTATACGTTTATACTAGTTCACTACAAAAGAAACCCCGAACACGTCTATAAATTGTAAGTTATTCCATACCTAATATTAGCTCATATATTTGCAATACTATAGTCTAGACAACTGAAAGGATATGATTATGAATGTTCGTATATATCGAACAACAACAAATGCATTATCAACTAACGGTAGAGGCTTTCAAAATCCATGATGCAGAAATTTACAACTTTCTTTATGTTTCCAGATAAAATCAAACCTTGAACAACTGTAACTTATTTTCGTAAAATTTAAATGGGCTGATTGATTGGTGTGACCTCTTATTTGCCAGGAATAAATGCTAGTCGTATGTTTTGTGTTTCATAAAATTGTGTCTACAGTTATATCAATTCATCCTACTTTTGCAGGAACATCATAATTTAGAACAGAACAATACTGTTATACATTGCAAAGTACATTGACGCATATAGGAATTTTATGTATTTTATAATGAATGTGACAATAGTGGAGCAAACTAGATTCGATACATTGCAATTTTTTAAGCATCATCGTTACTTTATTATTTTTCAAACCTTATTCAAGAAATGTCAGCATTGGAAAATGAATTAGTGCGTACAGCAGTATTGAAAGAAATAGATATTACAGTATCGAATGAAGTAATATTGGACACATTGCTAGTATTTACATCTATGGATAAACAATGTATATATAGCTAAGAAAGCGTTCAGATATACCTACATTGCAAATCCAATATGGACACGTAGCCCACGAAATGATTAAACCTGACTCAATCAACAGGAGAAAACACGTATACTTAAAGTTCAAATGAAATAATTATACACATACATACACACACGAAATAGTAAATTTTTTTCACGTGACAAAAGTACTATTTTGTGTGGCTAAATTTTTACAATACTACTCAAAAGCAGCCGGAACCTCATGCTATTTATATATGACTTATAATGTAAGCTGTATAGATCGTAGACTAACTGGTAAATCGGCTAAGAGTCATTATAACAAAACACAGTAAGCGAAGTATTGAGCAAGGTAATTGGATAAGTCTTAATCAACAAGTTATTCTACCTTCTTCCAATTGTTTTAAAGAAGTCTGTTGCGTGTGTCTTTACAATTTGCGTGCTCTTTTTTTGGGGGGGGGGATCTTTTTACTCCTCCTTACTTTGTCCTTTGTCGCATTTCCTTTGTAACGTCACGTTGTTAAAATTAAATTTGAAAGTAGAACGGTCTGTTGAGGTAATCAAATGTCATTACTGACAAGCAAAATCCAAGGCTAATTGCTTGAAAATGATGTGGCTTTTTTATGTGCTGGAATGAAATAATTGGAAAATTACACACAGAATTACTGAGGGCTCTGTAGGTTACAAATACAATTGGTCGTTTCCTGTTGCCTTGTGCCAATTAATCACGTGGAGAGGTCGATTTCATCGACATTTAACAACACATGCTTTCAAATGTTTTTCTTTTTTTTTCTTTCCTATGGCAATGTATGTAAACGACCTTACATGCGATAATCGAAAAGAGTTAGACTGGAATCCTTTTCTCCTTAGACATACATTAAACTGAAACTAGTTACACCAGATGTAATACGTAAAACTCTTCAGAAAAAAAAAACTAACACGAAATAATTGCTATGAGAAAAATTTAGAAAAGCAAGTGTAAAAATATCTAGCTATAAACCAAAAGCACTCGATGACAGAATGATTTGCTAATTAAGACATATCCAATTACCTTACTCAATATTTATCTTGGAATGCTTTGTTATAATGACTCTCAGTCGATTTAGTTAGTCTACGATCTGTAACATGTACCTTGTAAATAGAAAAAAAATCACTATGAGATTAAGATGGGATTTTTATTGATGTACACTTGTCTTTTACTTAAAAATAGCAATATATTGAATATCAGTTGGTAACATTGTATTTATAATTTATAAGATTCTTGGTAAAAAAAAGGAGTAAAATAAAACGCCAATACATCTATTTTGTTACATACAACTACATCAGTGGCAGGTTCTTAGCACCAAAAGCATCTCTACTAGCAAACTATGTAGTTTCATCACATAAAATGTTTTCTTATCACATTCCTTTTAATTTTCCTGCTTCCCGATACATCTGCAGGCTTACATCGCTAATAATCATATTTTGGTGGGCAGAGCACAGGTAGCCCATTGTGTAACATTCCGCTTCACAGCAACCAATCCACCTTAATTTGTCCGTTTGGCAGTAAAAAGCAGCCGCAAGTAAAAATATTGTTTCAGTTCTATCTTTTGTTTCCCACAAGTCACTGCCGAATAGGCCTTTCGTCAATAGCAAAACTCGTCAGTTTGGCTGGAAGATGATAGACAAAAGTTCTCTGAAACGTTATTTATACATGCAGTATAATAGTTTGAAAGTTACAATTTAAATGCCGAAAACTGACGAAACTTTAGAAACCAATAAGCCTAAAATTTCAGAGAAAATCACGTAAATGCAATTTTTTTTTTAGATTCAAAATCAGAGGCGTGACAAAATAACATTTTCATATCTATCTTTTATCTCTCAGCGTCCAGCCCAACTGACGAGTTATGGTATTGAGCGAAAGATATCTTGGGCCGTGACTTATGTGAGTGTCATGTAGTATTATGAGTATTATAATATTCTGAAATAAAAATTACGGATTTTGCACATGATCCGTACCTCAATATAGCTTCCTCTAATTTGAATACTTTTCCTGGCCACACAGACAGCGCAACCTTTGCTGGCCCTCCAGTTAACTTACTAGAAGTGATGAGAAATAAAAAAAACACGGGTCTTTATTTAGAGCAAAGAGTTATTGATCCTTATAGATTATTGTTACCGCATGAAGTTATATCACCATATTATATTGGTGATTTTAGTTAT